AGGCAATATATTCACACATAAAATAAAAAATAAATAAAAATATTGCTTTTAAAAGACCTGGGACTGGAGAGATGGCTAAGCAGTTAAAAGCACTGGCTGATCTCTTGCTTTGATTCCCAGCACCCACATGGCAACCAATGACCGTCCATAACTGCACTTTCAGGGAAATCTGATGCCCTCTTCTAACCTCCGAGGGGAACTGCAAGACACAGGTACACTTATATACATGCTGGAAATACACTCATACACATAAAATAATTTTTTAAAAAAAGACCCAAAATAAAAACATCAGGTTAAATTGCTGTCTTAATATAACTCTATGCATAGATGAACTTTTAAAAGATTGTGTAAAAATATTATAGCTGAAGACAGAGCTCGGTTCAGTTGTAGAGTGTTTGCCTAGCATGCACAGGGCTCTGGGTTCAACCTTTAGCATCACAAAGTAAAGAAGTTACACATCTACTAACAAAACTTGAAAAAAAATTAACATAAAAACTTCTACTAAATTAAATATTGCTTTTCATTTATGTATCACATAAAACTTGTGCAATTTTAATATATGCTTATAGACTATTGTCTCTCAAATCTTAAAATCTAAAACCTATGAAGATTATTTATCTAAGGTAATTACAAATTTTCTTATTCTCTGCATTTGACCAATTGTGGAACACTATAATAGTCTCCATCAGTTGCAAAAATAAGCTTTTATGATGAGCGGTGAAGGTTCCACTTGTTGGTAAATATAAGGATACATATTTAGAATACAGGAAGAAAGTACTAGGGAAGTAAATGAAGTAGGTTCTTTTCTAGGATCTATGACATCTCGAGTCTTGTGTATTTGGCTACACTTAACAATAACATGCATGAATTCCCTCTCATTGAGCAGGCCTTAAGTCCAATTAGACAGTTATTGATTACTGTCAAGATAAAAGTGTCACTACTACACCAACAGAGAATTTGCTGGGCTGGTCATTGTAGTGGTTCACAGACCTTATAGCTGGGTAGGATCATTGATTGGTTTTCTTCCTTGGCAGCTTACATAGTATCATTGGATATTATGAGGGCTAGTCTTCAGGAAGGTTTACAGGTCAGTTCCACTTCAGTTGCTCCAAGTCCTGAGTTCAAAATATGTTGTGTCTTTCAAGTTCAGGAGGAAATCAAGGGCTGCGGCAATAGCCTCCTGTGATATTTGGAAGTCTCTTAGACTACTCTCACCAACAACTCAAAGGGAGGTTTCCCTTGCCTGGCACTGTGATTTTTGTTATACAGGGCCTTCAGCTATTGTCCTAGTATGTTTCCTCCATTGCCGTGATAAAGTACTCTGACCACTATCAACTTGGGGAGGAAAGGGTTTATGTAGCTTATATTTCCTGGGTCACAGTTCATCAGGGAGTCCAAGGTAGGAACTCAGGGCAGGAACCTGGAGGCAGGAGCTGAAGCACAGGCCATGGAGGAACGCTGCTTACTGGCTTGCTCCCTGGCCCCTGCTCAGCCTGCTTTCTTATACAATATAGGCCCACCTGCCCAAGGGCGGCACCACCCACAGTGGACTGGACCCTCCCACATCACTCAACAATCAAGAAGATGCCTCACAGAGATGGTCACAGGCCAGTCCAACGGAGGCAATTCCCCAGTTGAGGCTCCCTCAACCCACATGTGTCAAGTTGACACTTAAGCTATCCAGCACAGCTATATACATGCCCTTGTACATATTCATAGAGGGTATAAAGTATCTTTGAGCAAATCTGTCAATGGCTAAATACAGATAAAAATCTAGTATCCAACAAGGCAGTGAAACTGAAAAATTTTACTTGTTTGCCTTTAAAAACATTGTTATTACTTTTTCTTTTTCTTAAGACAGTATATTGCTATATGACCCAGAATGGCCTGGAACTGGAGATTCTCCTGCCTCAGTCTCCCAAGTGCTGAGCTTGGAGCCTGAGGCACCAAGTCTAGCTCAGTTACCAGCTCTAATTATACTTTCCATAGCTCCTTCCTTACTGAGTACAATCCTTTCTCCCTTATCAGGCAAGGAAATATATGCTTGCTTTTCCTCTAACTGCTCTTTGAAAATGTAAGCAAGGATTCATCAATCCTTTATTGTTTGGCTAAAACCCATACATATCAATTTACTCTCTTATATAATTGCATTTAAACATTTATCTTGTATTATAGACATTTATCTTGCATTTAAACATTTATCTTGTATTCTTTTGTTAAAAGAATAAGTATGCAAGAAAAACTGAAAAGACAGGCTTAAGAAACTTCTTTGTCAATGACACAGTAATGCAATGGAAGTATCTCTGATGAAAAAATTGTCAGTTTCTTTTTTCTTTCTTTTGAAGTCAAGAACAGGAGATAAAGGAAAGATTGTCAGGTATTATCATTTTGTGCTATATCTTTTTAACTCCAAGACTCATGGGTATCAGGAAATCAGACCATTTTGTGTGTATGTCTATAGCTTCTATGTCCCACTCACTCTCTCCCCTTTTCATCATTAGCACATAGCTAAACACTCATTTCACCTGCTTCAAGTCACTTTAAATTCTCCGAACAGGCCAAGAAGTAGACGCAAGGCATGCAAGCCCACAAGCCACTGCACACAGACAAATGGATCATGGTCAAAGTGATGGCCTTTCCAATCACACATGATGACATAAGAACCAACACCCATTGTGAATGATGGGTTAGTTTTGTGCTCTGTCAACTTACTTTAAAGTAACCACTCTTTGGGAGGCATTGGTATAGAACAGTGGAGTGGTTATGGCTTTAGTGCTTCGGTCTTAAGAGGTCTATATATGTATGTGATCTCTGCAATGATTGAAATGTTACAGCATCCTAAATCAAAAACATGCTTTGTCTATGTAAAAGCAATAATAATCAAAATAAATCATGTAAAATTCTTTACATTTACGCCTAATTACCTTCCAGCACAATAATGACTATATCATTATTTTGCTCAGATTAACTTTGGCTAGATTAATTATAGCTGTAAATTCTAAATAGTAATTTACTGTTTTCTTCAAAGAATTATTTACTCAGCTCCTTTATATGCCAGGCTTCAAATTACATATTGAAACAAAAACTATGCTCCAAGGTGCTTACAGCCCTGTTGAAGAAAAAGATAAGCAAAGGCAAATGTTTACCAGAGGGATTATACCGCCCCCCATGGTAATGAAGGTAAAAACAGCAAAGGAATATCAATCCCTATTCTAAACAGTCAATCAATAGTGGTTTCAATAAACAAATGTTAAAGCTGAGTCCTTAAGAACAAGTAGAATCCTAAAGCAAAATAAACAGGAAATGCAAGGGCCTCGGACCTGAGAAAGTGCATGGAATACTTGAGGTGCTGCTCCACTGAAACAGTGAAAGAAAGAGTCTTAAAACAATGAGCTGTTTGAGTAAGGGTGACTGCCTCGAATATTGTTAAAGAGCCGAAAATCTTGCTAGTTAGGAGGAAGCACTACAGGAACACCAAGATAATGATGAGATCACATTTACATTTCTGACCTATGACTTTGGCTGCACTGGGAAGAATAAAGTGGCACAAGCTCACAACTGGAAATGTGTCAGGAGCCATCTGAAATCAATTCAGTGATAGCTATGATGACTTAGGATAGAGTGTGAGGGATTAAAAGAACTGAATGGGGCTGAAATATATGTAACAGGCACAACTGAAATGTCTTGGTGATTGAGTATGTGAGAAAGAGGGGGGTGGGAGATGGCTTTTCGAAATCAGGTAGCATTTACTAAGACAGAGAACAGGGAGACTGATGGTAGTCTTGCTTTCATTTTTATTTCAGTAATTTTGGCAGGGAGATTAAGAAAGCAGTAGATATTATGAGTTTTAACTTACCTAATTGAGTGTGATGTGTCTGGAGGTCTCTGGTAGTTAACTGAGTATGTAAGTCTAAAGCTAAGGCAAAAGATCTGAATTTAGGTATTTATTTTGAACTAGAGTACTTTATATCACTGGAACTCCTCAGACAGTAAAATGCTCAATATTAGAAGCTCAAGGAAACTCAAAATTTGTGAGACGAGCTGCATAAAAATTAAGAAAACTATAGAGAAGATAACAGCTGAAGAAGCAAGGAGAAAACCAAGAGAGTTGTGTGATCACAAACGTCAGAAGGAAAGAGTAGCCAAGCAAGAGTCAACACGGCAAGGTGCAGCTGAGATCATGCAATGGCAGAGCACTGTTTGGAAGATAATTCAACTTCAATCAAGGAAAATGCTATTATGCCTGTCCACTAAAGAGTTAAATGAGCTTGCATAAAGTTTTTAGAAAGAGAAAGAGAATAAAAAACAGGCCGATTCTCTTGACTATTTCATAGTTGAGAACAAATAAGCTATATATATGAAGACTATGAAACATTACATACAAAAAGCATAAGTTACAGAACATATGCATACAATAGCTGTTATTTTAATGTATTTCTCTATGTAAACTTACCTGCATACACAGCAAGTCAACACAGAAAGTTTATATAAGTATAAACCAGACTGAAGTCTAAACAGTTAGCTTCATAAAGAAAGCTGATATTTGGTTTGGTATGTGGCCAACAGGCCCTGTATTACTTAATATTTTTTACAATGCTACTATTTTCACATACCGTATGCCTAACCTAATTAAAATGTTTTAAGGTCAGGGCAGAGGCACACGCCTTTAATTTCAGTACTGGGGCGACAGAAGCAGATGGGTCTCTGTGAGATCGAGGCCAACCTGGTCTACCAGCAAGTTCCAGGCCAGCTGGGACTACAGGGAGACTGGTCTCAAAAAATCAAAATAAATAAATAAACAAACAAAGACATGATGAGGGAATGACGTACTATAGGGTGGAAGCTAAAAGGGAAGAGGCTGGGAATGGCTTTTGTGTACCCTTCAGAGAAATTAGTCACTGACATGGGAAGCTTTCTGTTTGGGTGCCTGACATGCTTTGCTGCAGCTACTTTAAATTACATTAGGAGCCCAAATAAGCTTTTGTATTAATAGTCTTCACCTTAAGAGTTCTACCTGCAGAACAGGCAAATTGTTCCTTTGATGGATCCTGTGGGCAGCCTTCTCAGAGTCGGAAGAGAACAACCAACTTCGATCATTTGAACATGGAGCATCAACCAACACCTGGAGAAAACAAGGACAGACCCTGTGAACACACTGCTGGCCTAAGGCACACAGAGCAGCTACATGGCAAGTGGGATGTAAATAAAAACAGTGTTTTAGGAACTCAGAATATGCCAGGCTAAACTCTACTATGTATTTCTTCACTGGTAGTTCTCAGAAATTTTTGTTATACAAAGTCAGTGTTAAGGTTTTATTTATTTGTTTTGTGGAGAAAAGGAACATGGAAGGACTAAAAGTCCACTGATATCTATGAATGGCATTTGTACACTTATTTTGATGTTTGGTTTTTTAAGACAGGGTCTCCCTATGGCCCCAGCTGGCCTAGAATTTGCTATGAAGACCAGGCTGGCCTTGATCTCACAAAGAACCAGCTGCCTCTGCCTCTGCAGTGCCAGGATGGGATTAAAGGCATGCACCTGCTCATTTGATATCCTTGATGACAACAGCTACAACTTACAAAAGTTACTCATCTAAAATGACATTACTGTACTTCTAAATGTTCAGCATTTTTTTTTAAACTTTACTAATTTGTTTTGCACTGTTGGGGGTTAAACACTGGATCAGCATTTATTTTTAAGAATTAAAAATTCAATTTTAGTTTATGGAATTGACTTTTGTTCCATCTCTCAACTCCGATATGAAACGTACAGACGTTTTTGTACTGGCCACCAAAATATCTTATCATTTCCTGAGTAACTAACTACAAGGCACCAGAAAACAGAAAACATTCTGTAATCCCCAAACACAATGTTACTGCTTTCATTGAACCATACCGACCATCAAATGAAAAATGCCTCCGTTCACTTTATCAAAAATCTCCCAGATACTGAGAAATTGTACCATCCAGGAGCAAAAGAAAAAGGACAACAGAGCAGCATAATGTGGTATCGCTTGGAGCCCATCAGTTTGTCACAATGTAATAAAAGTACCTTGTCAAACGTTTCCGGCTGGGCATCTCCCATTTCTCTGCCATCCAATTCAGATACTTTAATTACATTTATCAAAGGCGGTGGGATGAAAGATTCCAGCGTCTTTCTCAGCCATCTTACTCTCAGACTATCATATTCATTACAATGCAGATAACCTAAATATAAAGGATCAAAAAGTTCCAAATGAAGGCAATACAATTGGTAAATTTCTACTTTTCAGCAAGCAAATTTCAGAAAAATCAATTCTCATAGTAATATGGAAATAGGGCTTAGAGGTAAACATTATGACTATCTCATGCTTTAAAAACAGAAACACGAGTTTTACTCAGCAGTAAAGAAAGATGAAATCCTGAAATTTGCAGGTAAATGGATGGAACTAGAAACTTTTATAC